AATTTACGGAAAATTAACTAACGAACCGAGACGTAACAGTACGAACATTTCCGCAGGAAGACAAAGGTGTTACTTTTGGGAAACGATACAGAACAATAGAGCGAAAGGAACTTAACGACTTCCTTGACCAGTCCCCGATGGGACAGAGGAAAATTCACGGAATTACAACGCTAAAATCCGAGGTTTGATTTTCTGCAGTGGATACAGCAGATAGCCCATTGTGGCTTTACTCTAAAAACAAACCCACAAAACTGTTTAATCAGTGTTCTGTGTGAAGACTGCATATACTTAAATAAATTAAATTTTAAAAATTCTGAGTTTAAAAAGAGATAGCAAACGTATGGTATAGCTGCATTTTACAAGAATACTTCAAGTCATACTCTTGAGACGTTAATTTGTTAACAAGAGGGACGAAATATTTATCGATTTTAATAAGGGAGACGAAGTTACTCGTTTCTCGTCAATTCGCTCACTGGATTGAGGTATTTACCACTTCCTGTAAACTCCTGTAGGTGTATATGAGTTATGTATCTTGTTAATTATCGCATCTAAGAATGAAAATTTATTATCTTCTATCTCTTTTCTTTTCAAGCGGTTCATATAATCTGGACTATTTGAATAAGAAAACGCGTTATGTTAATATCATAATAAGGTAGCAAACATCGATTTATGGGCATAATGAAGTGTTTTTTTTTCTTGGAACATAGTACATGTTTGGACAAAACATTGGACTGTCTTCTTTGGATCATACTTATTATATATATATATGTATATATTCACTTTTTTTTTCTGGTAATAAACTATATTGTTATCAGGTGACAAGTAACCATGACAACACTCTATACCCAACAGTGAAAAAGTGTGGTTCGAAAATAGGCCTAAGATTAGGTATTATGCTAAAAGTATTCGTTAGAATCATGGTGGATCATGTTTGTTAGAGGATCATCAAGATGATGTGAAATAGCGAGAAGGTTATTTCACAGGCATAGGTTGACAGTTTTTCATTGAATATGATTACTTACTACTACAAATACTTTTTTCCTCGCGTATCGAAAGTATTACTTTGAACTAGAAGTTAAACACAGTATCGAATGATAATAGTTCTCTAGCAATAACTTATAAGCCTAACTAATGTTTAGCAGTACACTAATAATATTAATAGTAATATTAATGAAGTTTAACTTTACTTTAAACTCTACAGACACAGTGTGCAGTTTTTAACACAAAGATTTAGGATATATATATATATATATGATACAACTTTTCTTCTGATTAAAGTCTAATATATAAAAAAAGCAAGTTGTCATTTTTATATATGTGCATAATTCTCATATTATGAGTAATTTTTATTTAACTTGCACCGTTATTATTGATTTTTTAAGAGTGTACTTGAAAATTGTTTTTATTTTGTTCTAATATGTGATTATATTTCTTTTATGTACAAAGAGGAAAGTTAGGTAGAACAAAGCTTGCTGGAAGGGGGGGG